GCTGCTGTTGCTGCGCTTGCTGCTGATGCTGCTGCTGTTTCTGCGGTTGCTGCTGAGGCTGCTGCTGTTGTTGCAACCAGAAACCCTTATAGGCCAATGGTGCTGCTACTGCTGCTGCTGCTGCTGCTTTGACAAACCCATAAAGCCCATGCAGCTGCTGCGACATCCGTATTGCCTCATTTCTTTCGCTTGTGCGTCCCTGCTGCTGCTGATGCTGCTGCTGCTGTTTCAGTTGCTGAGAGAACGATAGCGCTGCACGAGGAGACAATATTGAACGGTACTGCAGAGCAGCGGCGGCTGCAGCAGGAGCTACAGGGGCTGCAGCGGCTGTTGTATACAACTCCAGCTGTTGTACAAGCAGCAGCAGCAGCAGCAGCAGCAGCAGCACCAGCAACGGGAGGGAGCCGCAGCGATGGACGACACAAGCAGCCAGCAGCAGCAGCAGCACCAGCAGACCGGTCGCTGTCTCCAGGGCGCTGCAGCACAGCAAGTTCTCTGCCGATGGTATTGGGGGGAGAAGGCCTTCGGGGGGGCCGCAGCAGTGGAAAGCTTTTGCAGCGGCAGCAGCAGCAGCAACAGCAGCAGCAGCAGCAGCAGCAGCGGCTTGCAGACAACCTCTGCAGCAGTAGTGCATGCGTTGAATCTGTGACTGACACAGTAGATGAACCTATTGCTGCGGGGGAGGCCCCCTTCTGGCAGTTGGCTGTAGGTCTATTTGCTGCTGCTGCTGCTGCTGCTGCTGCTGCTGCAGCTGCTGCTCTTGCTGCTGCTGCTGTTCTTGCTGTTGCTGCTGCTGTCGCTGCTGCTGCTGTTGCTTTTGCTTGTGCTGTAGCTGGAAGGTGTGGGGTGCTGCTGCGCTGCAGCAACGCGGGCTGACGATGGGGTCGCCGGAGTTAACAGCAGCATCAGCAGCAGCAGCAGCATCAGCAGCAGCAGAAGACTCGATTTGTCCAATGCCCCACGTTGCTGCAGCCAAATGCATGGATACGGGCTTCTTGCCGCTGCTGCTCACAGACAGTGGCGTGCTGTTTGAGGATGAAACCTTACAGGTGCTGCTGCTGCTGCTGCTGCTGCTGCTTCTGCTGCCGGAGTTGCTGCTGTTGCTGCTGTTGCTTGTGCTGCTGCTGCTGCTGTTGCTGTGAGGTGTAGTGGTGCTTTTGCAGAGTGCAGAGATGATGCAACCGATGCTGTTGCTGCTGCCAATTGCTGCTGCTGCAGTGAATTGCTGCTGGTGCTTGTTCTGGTGCTGCTGGTACAGTAGCAGCTACTAAAGCTGGGAGCTGCTGCTGCTGCCGCTTGTGCTGCTGCTGCTGCCGCTTGTGCTGCTGCTGCTGCTGCTTGTGCTGCTGCTGCTGCTGCTTGTGCTGCTGCTGCTGCTGCTGGTACAGTAGCAGCTGC